GATGGCAGAAGAAGCACCTCTTCAGCAGCAACCACTTCTTGGAACAAACACTTTCCAGTCTGGACAAAAATCAGTGACTCAGCGCTGGCTAGTGGGGATAGAGAACGTGTTCAGCAACATCAAGTCACCTGGCCCGCTGCCAAGCAGACAACAGTCCTTTTGTTCCCTCTGGAGAAAGGCCTCTTCTCCAAGAGCACTGGAGGCCAGACACTGAACAGTATTGTTGCAACTGGGTGAAAAGTTTACTGGTGCAGGGGAAACAGTATAAAAATTATCATACCCAGTAATTTGGAGTTCAAAAAGGCACTATATATGCCTAATGTAAGTGACTAGTAGTGTGGGAACAAGCAGAAGACGATCAGGTCCGTACTTTAGTACAGATAAAACAGAGCAATAGACCTACATTTATTTGGGGGAGAAAAAAAAAGTAAAAAAAAGTAAAAAAAAGTAACTCAGTTTCATTAAGAGATGTCATTAAAAGAATAGGAGAAGCTGTAATTTTAAGTCACAGCTGGGGGAAAAAACTTATACAATTCCTGACACTCTTTTTGGGACCTGGAACTACAAGTTCATACATTGTAAGGTTCCATTTGGCTCTCCTCTCCCTGAGCACCTTTGGCTGGTTGCTGCTGAGCTGTAAATCTCTGGCCTCTCAAAGTCTTAACACTGGACTCCTATGCCTGTGGTGCGTGGTTGCTAGAGATGTTTCCTACTTTCCTAATAAAGTTACTTTATTCTTGCTGGCCAAACACCTTCCTTCCACAGCTGTCCTTGTGTCTGCACAGACTGGCACCTTCCCTTCACTCTGGATTTGTCATCTGAGAAGCCACTGGAGCTGCTAGGAAAGGAAAGCAAGGTGGATGAGCCATCATGGACAGCGAGCAGCAGGAGCAGAGCAACGCCGCTATTTGTGCCCAAAAGGGGCTGAAAAACTGGCTGGGAACTACTGCCCATGAGTCCTTCATCACTGCACAGGCTGTGTGATGTGCTGGATCTGGGATTTTCAGCCGTGTCTGACCCTCTGAGGGCCTGTGAGGCTTTCCAGTCCATTTCCCACCTTCTGCCTGTTTGGAAGATCCCTCCAGCCAAGTTCCCTGGCATCTCCCCGCAGGGGGAGGCCAGTCAGCCTCGTAGGGAGGAATCACCATAAGGCTGGAAGCTCAAGTGGAGCCCACAGAGGCAATGTGTCACTCAGCAGGAACCACCACAACAGCTGCTGCTTCAGACTCACATTTTGTGGTGTTTATTATTCTTTTCATTCTTGGCCATGTCTCCATTATTATTATTTTTTTCATGTGAAGGAGGAAATTTTGCTTATAAACCTCTATTTGTGGTCCCTGCTGTGCACACAGCTGCCCAGATCAGAGCACTGCTGGCTTGCTGTGGACGATCTACTGGCCCGGCCACGCAGATCACCTCTGCATCATGTGCTCAACCCAGACAAAATCAGGTGACTGCCCCAAGGGAAGGCTGTCTCTGGATGTGCTGTTTCTTCAGGACTCAGTTTTTGGCAGTTTTCATCCATTAGTTGTGAGAGAAAAGCCACTGGGCTAAGCCACCCAGCATGGTTATCCTTATCTTCCTGAAAACTCTCATCAAACACGCAGACGATGAATACGAGCAAGAGCTGGGAGTTCACAAAGGCAGAAAACAAACCACACAGAGAGGAATAGTTGCAAAACTATTGAGTTCTAAGATGCAGAAAGCACCTGTCTTTCCTGATGCAGTATTTAAAAAATGAGGAAAGGATCTAAAAATTTTCCCATGACACCAACAAATACAAAACATCAGAAAACCAACAAGTGAGAACAAAAAACCATACACATCCATGAGAGGAGACCCTTTTAGATGGCACAGTGTGAAGCAAACCATGGTGAACCTCATCAGAGGGCTCTCCACTGGCATCTCCCTCCTGCCAGGGCTGGCTCCTGGGCTAACAAGAGGGTGGAAACACCATGGCAGGATGTGCATCTTGCTGGCATCAGGCAAGTCCATGATCACTTTGAACACAGGAAGGATGGGCAGGAAGCAGCATATCATGGATTTGTTCTTTATAACTACAAAACCTAAAAAGCCACACAGGCACCGAGGAGTTAGCTTCCCTTCAAAACTTCTTGTACCTTTTGCTTGGAGGAGTTGTTCTTCCCATACCCCCCAACCTCTCCACCAGCTGTATCGCCTCTGTGGTAAACCAGCGTGGTTTGATGCAGTTTTATCAGAGAAAGACTTGGAAATATTTGTGGTTCTTTTTAAACCTGTGGTGAGCCAGTAAGTGCTGTGTGCTGCTTGTAGGACAATGCACAGCTGAAATGGCACCTTGCAGGCTGTGGGAGGCTGGGCCTGAGCATGCTCTGACCCTGCAAACCATTTCTAGGTCCTAAACTGTGTCAAATATCTTCTATCAGCCCATCAGTTGTTGCAAGCCCTGAGGGCTCTTCAGCAGGAAAGGGTGTGCAGAAGAGACCCTTCCCACATGTATTTTCCTGCATTGCACTGGATTCACCCCCTCACAAAGGAGCACACCTTCCCAAGGACAGGGTTAACACAGAGCTGGTCAAAGGTGTCTGAGTAGCTTCTGCCTGCCTGAGAAACCAGTCACCTCACCAGTCCCTGCTGCCAAATAGCACACAGCCTCAAGGTGCTTCTCTGGCATGACTGCGCATCCCAAATCACTGGCAGGCCTCTACAACAGCCCCCTGCCTTGAGTGAATCTTTCACCAAGAAACAGCAAGTAAAACTGGAGCAAACAAAGCGTTGACTCAGATAGAGATGCATTTGGATGAATTTTCTATCTCTTCATACTTCAGTGGAGCTGGTGTCAGGTGATACTGGCCCCCTGCCACTCAGCCAGATGCTACTACTGCCCATGGATGGGCACGAGATAACTCTTTGCAAAGAAGGTCAAGGAAAACTACAGTACAGTGAAACCACTCACCTTATTTCTGTATGGAAAATTTCACATGGTTTAAAACAATGGGCAGACTGCCACCATCATTCTTCCCAGCACCCTCAGTGCTGCAATGCCACTCTTCCAAGCACAGCTTTCTTCATTACTAGGCTTCATCTCAATGTTCCGTCTCAGTACTAAGCATTGAAGTTGCTTCTGCTGTACGTTCTAAAAGTATTTCAGGTAGAGAGTGAATATCCTTTGAGGTACAGAAATGTACCTTTGAGGTAGCCAACATGACATTCTATTTTCTCATCAAGTAGTACTGTAAGAAAATTTCCTGCAGCAAGCATCATCAAATTAATGCACTGAGTAGCAGTGGTTCCTTCACCTCAGTTCTAACAGTCCAAGACCCAAGTGCACACTTATAAATTATTATTCATTCTGAACATTAGAATGTGTTGTTCTTCCCCCAGACCTATATCCATGCATAATTTACTATTTCCCACTGCTTACTTCATAAAATGCTGAAAATTCATGCACATACTTAGACCATTTTAGCAGGTTTTGCAGACTGACAGTCCTTTTATTTGTATGTTCAAAGGTTCAGAATACAGCCGTGTGATACATTGAAGCTAAGAAAAACTGGGGAGGATGATTCACAGGAAAATTTTTGACAAGTCCATTTCTTCTAATTCAGTGCAAAAACAATTCACATACAGTCCATAATCAGCAACTAAATTCTACATTATTTTCAATTTACTTAGTGCTGTAAGTAATCATTAGTGACAATACTACTATCACCTGGAAATAAGGCAGGGGCAAGATCTGATCTACATCTCTTTTAGTGTTCATACTTGTATATTATTTTATATGCATACACTTATATGAAACAACAGCAAAATAAAACTGTTCCCACAACAATGAACAGAGTATTTTGTACAGCTTATAAGTTATGGTATACAGTAAAACTGGTGTCACATACTATAGGTTATGGAATACATTAATAGACAGTGTTATACTAATTTGCAAATTTAACAAAGAATTTTTAAAAGCAAGTAAGACATTGCATACAATGGTGCCAATTCATCATTACTGCAGTTTAAAATATTGGCCCTTTCATGCCACAGGAAACTTGGAATCAAGGTAATGAATCAGTCAGTACATACCACAGAGCTGCAACGATTTAAGAGCAACCTGAATTTCTTGGAGTTTAAGTACTTGATTTTGCAATCCTGAAGCTGAATTATCTTTTTAGTTTCTCTGTCTGCCTCTGTTATATATATATATATACAAATACTTATCTTATGGTATTTATCAGCTCTGCTTTTTGATTTGGAAATAAATACTCAATTTATCGCTTTCTTTCACACCAAAGAGGAAACAAGACATGGAAGCCCGAGGGCACATCCCACTAACATAGATGCTGATGTGTTGGCTTTTAATGGGAAGTGGCACTCTAAGTATCTAATCACTCTATTTATAGAACTTAAACCCCTAAACTACTTCAGAACATTCATATATTTTACCTACTGCTAAGCTGGCAAATATTTTTAACTACAAGTCTAATATAGATAATAGCTTTTAAATCCATTGAAGCCAAGATGCATCAGAATAATAATCATACAACTATACAAATAGTTGTACCTAATTACTAATTTTACAGTGCTGCAACTCTCCAGCATTAAGTAACAGAAATGCATGTACACATGTAACAGAGAAGGAGCAAACCTGTGTTGTGGATGGACTTATGTCTGCTGTTCTCATGCTCAGTGTTTCAATTTATATTAAAAATAGTATCAGCAGAGAATTGCCGTGGGAAGAGAAGCACAGAATGAATATCTGAAGCCAGATGTGACAAAGCGACACTTTTGATTGTGATGGCTGCTTGTGCTTCTGTTAGTCATGGCATCTCCAGCTACTCCTGGAGTATGATGATGAGGTTGGATGGGGAAGCTGCTTAACAGTCACAAAAACTGTTAAACCTGTCTGCTGCACTGGACAATTTGTCCTTTAAGCTCTGAAAGACAGGAGGCAGCCATGGGGGACTGAGGGGTTAAAGGCAGCTGGTGATTTAATGTCTGAGTTAGACTTTAAGAAACAGTATGCTTTACATTGCTAACTAATGTTTATTTTACATAGGACCATCAGAATTAACAATAGGGTGCCAGAGTGCATCTTCATTAATCTATCCCATAACACGGAAGTACAATTTTCAAAGACACATATTTATATATCTGGTAACCACTTTCATCCCTGTTACTTAATTAGCAATTAGAAATGCTTTGGGACACACATACACATGCACACATTAAAAAAAAAGGCAATACAAATTCTTCTGTTGCTGTCAGAAATAGTAAGTACCAGGTAGTACATCATCGTTTCCTGGTCCCACTGTTGCCACCGGAAGATTTATTGAAACTTCTGCTCATTTGTGGGAAGTGTACAGTTGGTGTTCTTTCAGTGGGGCCATACAGCCCTAAATTCCTGGCTGTAGCTGACTTTCGAAGAGGCTTGACGCTGGGAAAAGGATTGAAGACTTGTGGCTTTGGGTTCCCAGGCTGAGGCGATTTAGCCAGGTTTCCACTGTCTCTGGATGAAGTGGAAGACTCTGATAAACGTGGCTGGCTGGACTGATGGGATGCTGGCTCCACATCGCTTTGGGTATCTGAGGTGAGTTCCAGTGCTTCCAGTTTTAGCTGAACCACGGACATGTTTGTACCGCTGTCCGTAGAGTCTGGCTCAGATGACTGCTGGTCAGCTTTCTGAGTAGTCCTGTCATCCAAACCACCTTCTTCTCTTTCTCCAAAGCCAGAATGTTTGGAAGCCTCCTCTTTTGCACCAGGGCTATTTGTTTTACAGCTCTCACTCTGCTCATCTATCAGTCCTACGGTATCCCCGTAGCCCAGCTGGCCTTTTGCCCTAGCCATGTTCTTCCGATGAACTCGTATGTGAGTGCGCCATGGAGAGTTCAGTTTTGTTTTAAGATCTTCTTGGGGAATGGGAGACATCTTCCCCGTAGCATGGCTTGGGATGTGAATAACGGCATTTTTGAGAGACTTGTTATTCAATTTCATCTTCTTTCCTAAAAGGAGGTGGTTTATCACTGGGGAATGGTTTACCTGAGAAGGGAGGAGGCTGGTAACTGGCCCCTTGTCTGAAAGAAAACATTTAAAAGAAACACAGTATTGTTAAAGAACAAAACAAATTAATGTTCTAAGGATCTACCACTAAATTCAATACCTTTCTTGAGGTACGGCAAAGGTTTGTTGGACAGAATGTATTTTAAAAAAACCAACCCAAACTTAAAAATCATCACTGAATTTCACTTATGTCTTAGAGTTGAACACAAAGCAGCACCTTCTATATAAGGATTTTCTGCCCTCCCTCACTGTTTTGCACCTATGGGTAAGTCCTGAGCCAGTAATATAATAAAAACTAATAATTTAAAAAATAGCCTCTTGATTTCTAGAATTGCACTAAAACTAATAGTTTAACATTAATATTGGCTTTTCATATTTCCCCTCTCCTTCATTTCTCTTCCAACAGCAAGAGGCAATTCAGTCTCCACATGAGGTCAGTCACATAAGCCTCTCCATGAGGCTTGTGTGACTGGAAAATGGAAAATGAATGTAAGTACTTCTAATGCATAAAACCACATCTTATTAAACCAGAGGAGTAGACTCAGAATTAGTGATTAGATGACAGTATGATCAAATGACAAACCCAGCCCTATATCATGATTAGTAAGATTAGAAAGATTTGTGTTTGGAAGGTAAGGGGTTGGCATCCTTGGGAATCAACATCATACTGTTTGCACTGTTTCTGCTGGCTACAGCCTTTGTTCAAAGGAAACACTTCACTAAATTTTTTTTTAAAAATCCTTCTAAATCAGGTAAATGAAAAATTGCAGCTGCATGTATTCCAAGGCTCCTGCTAGCACAGGTTTAGACAACCTAAAAGAGAAATAAAAATTATCCACAGTGATCCATTTGCGTGGTTCAATGGTGAACTTAGAAAGATGAAACCTAAGCAGGGAGGAATGAGCGGGGTGGGCTGTGTTCAGCTTGTATACCCAGTAAAACCTTCAGCTGTGCATTTCATGCCAACCCCTGCACTGCTGAATCTGACAATTAGGGAGACAGACTCCATAACGTGGGTTGTTAAATAAGGGACTGATGTCCAGCTCAGTCCTCACAACAGTATCATTATGACTAGGGAAAGTGCCAACCACAATGAAACATCTAAGCCAGCTCCTTCAGTTGAATAATTTGCCGTGCCCAGATGAATTCAGAGGAGTTCGGATAACACAGACCAGCCAGCAATCTACCTGCCATATGATCACCCTCATCTCTGCATTCACTTTTTCCACTGCATCAATATGTCAATTCCAAGAATGCCAAAGACTTAAAAGTTTTTAATCAGAGAGACCAACAGAATGCACCCAGATAGCAAAGCCACTTTTAAATACCATTGTTTAGTTGGTCCCTGGGACCTAAGAAAACCCCAGGGTCATCATCTTCAGATCCTGACAAAAGAAGAAAAAATATTACCACCTTATTTTCTGTCAGCATGAAGTGGTGCCCATTTTACTACTAATTTCATATATTCCATCAGTCTTTCTTATTTTGTCTACTTGGTTAAATGCTAAAGAAAGTAATTTGCCTGACAAAGTCAGTTGTAATAAATCAGGAAATGAAGCATGTTACCTGCTCTGATATACACATGGTGAACCTGCTGTTGCTGCTTCTTCTTTATCCTGGAATATTGCTTTTTCAGTGCATTAATATCAGTGGTCATACGCTCCATCATCATGCTGTTAAAAGCAGTATGATAGTCACTTCTGCAAGAGTCTATTGCTCCTGGGCTTAATTCTGCAATGTTACTGGAACCAAGACTTTGCTCTTCATTCTGATCTGTAGAAGGAGGGAATAAAGTGGAGGTAAGGAGTAAATTGGCATACTCAAGAGATATATCTGCACTTCTGTAGATTATTTCCAAGGGAAGTCTGTGTCTGATTCCTACAATCTTATTTAACTGTAGTCCTTAATTAAAAATTAATTATAATATGTATATTTAACTAAGCTGTGCTATTTACGATAAGAATTATTATAAACAGCACTACTGCCTAAGAATAGTAAGGATTTGAGGTGAGGTTAGAGAGTACGAAAGTCAATTAACATGGCAATGCAAAGCTATAAGCAGAGCTCTTCAAATATCCAAAAGTACATCAAGCCACCAATGAAGTAATTCAATAACAGATTATTAAAGACACTTGATTGTTGTAGAGACCAACAATGCAAGTTATAAAATACATTACAGTTAAGCAGGCATTAGATTTAAACAACCAACCTAGTGCTACCAGCAAGAAGCATCAAGAAACAGACCACCACAGGGGGAAAGCTGCTAGTAACAACAAAAGGGGTAGGCACAGAGCAGCTGAGGATCATGAGGAACTTGAGAGTGTCTCTGATCAACAGACACAGAGCAACAGCAGCAGAGCAATTTATTTTCACAGCTGTTTCTGATGCAGCAACCTGGCCCTCCAGGGTCAGGGGGATAATTCTTTTTAAAGGAATGTTTATTTGTCTTTGGCTTAGTTTGCAACAGCAGTTTGATGTTCTGACTAAGTGCTAGTTTGAAGCAGCAGGTAGAGAGTCCCTCAGGAAGGGAAAAACAAAACACCACAGCAATCAAGAGGAAAATTGCAGCTTACAGATCTCAGCAAAACCAAGACACGAGAATGATGAAGCATGAACAGCAACTGTTACATCTGGGGGTTTTTTGAGGGTAAGGTAGTGGTTAAGTGGGGATAAATAAAAATGGCCTCTCTCAAGATACTGTGAAATCACTGTTGATCCAGTACCATTTCATAAAGGCTGCTGCAAGTTAACAAATGTTCTTTGTTTTTATTGTATAGTTCAGCATTTTTTACTGCCTATAGAGAATTTGCAGTGGTGTACACACAATTCTGTCAAGAAATTTTATTTCAGTGTGGAAGGATTTGAAAAATAGTGACATTTTGTCAGAACACCCTAAACCATACCAACATTTTCTTTAAATGTGAATATATCAAAAGCATACAACAATCTGAAGGTTTGGCGAAAAGGGCAGTGAAATCACCTGCAGAATTCACTCATTGCTGATAGATTCCAGTATCAGCCATGCATATGTTAATAAAGATCACAATCATTTATTAAAGGTGCACCCTTCAGAAAATGCTGACTACCTAACAGCTGTGTCAGAAATATGCATGGATTTAGAGTGGAATTTTTTCACATATGCTTCTTTTTTTTTACTATGTGGGCAACACTATGGGGTTGTTTTGTTAACCATTACTATAGCCAAATCCTTAAGTCACACCATCATTTACTGTACACCTACAGCCTTCCAACCTGGTTTTTATGACATCTTCATGGAGCACAGTCATTTACAGTCATTTGGTACCTGCTGTAACTCTGTGCATAGAAAACACATTTTCCATAGCAACTTTCAGAAACAGAGCTGCTGACAATTTCTGCCCGGTCATATAGACTTGTGTTTTCCAAAATTAAAAAAGTCACTTTTACCTTTCATCTGCTTTTGGTATTTTTGGAGCTCTGGTGCCAAAAACCCACTTAATGGTCCAAGACAACCAATTGCATTAGCAATTGAGTCTTCATCATCTAAGTCATTCTCTTCATCACTGTCTCTGGTTCTGCCTAACCTTCTGTCAAAAGAGAACATAAGAGAAGTAAGGAAGATACATTCTTAAATGTGAACATTACCAAGCATTTTTATCTTTTTTAGAAGCATACAAGAGAGGATCCACCCGCCTTTTCAACATCTGCAGAGGGTAAACAATAACTCAATACACCATAAGCAGTGCATTTCAAACTTACCCTGAAAATGAAGTTGATTTTACTGCTGCAGGGAAAGGAGTAATATTGTATGTGTATTTCTCCCTTAATTCTGCCAGTTGTGGGAAAGGAAACTGAGCCATGGTGTAAACAGTCTAGGGAAAAAGAAAAAAAAGGCAACTTTAAAAATTTTTCTTTAATTAACAGTCTCAAGAAAGATTTTTCCATTAACAGACTTCCACAGTCTTGCAGGATTAAAGGCTGCACATTCTTGCACATTCACATGCTTCAAGAAAATGGTCTAGTTTTATGATTCAGTCAGTATTTCCTGTAGGAGAAATAAAGTCTGACTCACAGAAAAATATACACTTCAGTCTAAAAAAAAAAAAGAACTGATAACATGAGCTGTAAGATCCTTTACAACTCCTAATAATTACTGTCAACCCCTTCTTGTGAACACACTGGAAATCCTCCTCCAATTATGATTTCACTTACATAAATGTATCATTTAGGTTTTGGGGTTCTTTCCAGAAGACCTAAGTTTTTGTTCAAGTATTCAACAAAGTATTAGCACTAGTATAGCTAGGAAGGGGCAGATCCTCATTGATGTGGACTGCGAGCTGATTCATTATTTTACCTGAGAAGCTCAAGAGCTTGTGTGAAGGAAATCATGCCAGCACAAAAATCATAGCTAGAGAGGAAGGATCCAATGTCATCCAGGTTTTATTCCCTCAATTCCAATTGCTGGTTGGTTTTGAGACTAAAGGTGGGGTTTGGTGGGGTAAAGGTGGTTGTTTTTCTAAAACAAGGTCATCAAAATGCTAATAGATTTTCTTTACATCAATACTCAGAGTTTAAAAAGATACATAGTTGCAAATTCATTTCCTTTCAGCATTATTTTGCTGTAAGTCACCAGCCAACCTGGCATAAAGATACATCATATTCATTGCAATATCATTGCTGGTTTGTTCCTACATACTTTAGTTGCCCTTTTTTCCCTGCTTTTTTTCACTATTCAGAGCCTTCAACTAACTGCCAAATAATTCATTCTGAGTCTCAATGTCAGAAGAAAAAAAACAAAACCAAAAATATAATTTCCCATAGTTTCTCTGAAATATTAAAGCTTTTCCGTATCCTGAAAATTAAATATTTTTTGAAAGACAGCAACATAAAATTTTCTTATTAGTTATGACAGTAAATCTTCACTTATATATTTTTGTCCTGTGCTATTAAGTCAGTGACATTTTCATCTGAAGGTAAATGACCTCAATTAAGATGAAAGGAAATTCTGAACAGTTTCTACATAATTCATTCTTGAACCACGACTCTTCTGTGCTAAATACACTAAGGAAAATTGCAAACATGAACTCAGTACTAGACATTTCCTGACATAAGGAGGGGAAAAACTTTCATTAACAACAATGATGTAAGCACTGAGGAGCAGGAAAGACACTCCTGTCTGAATGAGAGACAGGGCAATAGTGCACCTCAATAGGTTTCTGTGTGAGAATGCTTTTACAGTTTGAGCCATGCACAGACTCTAAGGAAAGGAAGATGCCTTCAAAAGTCCAGAGCATGAATGGAAGTTTTGCCACTCCATTAAACTACAATGCTACTGTGAAAGAAAAATATTGTCTAGGGCTTGAACAGTGATTACCCATCAGTCTACCAGACAAAGGAATTTTATGATCTGGAGAAAGACCTACCTCCAGCCCAACACATCTGCCTGCTTGTTTGATCTCCACCATACTTTCTTGTTAGGGCTTTTTTTTCCCATGTGTTTCCACTCTTTCTGGAGGTTTGTCTGGAATTTATTTCTACTCTTGATCTCAGTCTTCTTCTCAGGTAACTTGTTCCATATGCTAGTTACCCTTTAAGTGAAACAGTCAACTCCAATTCCTCCATTTACTCCTTGCACCTACCGTTTCAGATTGTGCTTTCTAGCTTTTTCCTGTCTCCAATCTGTCTCTTCCACATCTTCTACAATTTGTTTCATTTTTATTACGTAAAAATATGTAAAAATACATATTTTTAGCTTAACTATTGTTATCAGGTTATAACTGCAAGCCTTGCTTACCACCTTGCTAAGAGAGCCACAAAACAAATTTTATTTAAAACTTGCCCGTGCATGTTCCACTGGAAATTTTAAAAAAAATTGCCAACCAACACTTCTGATATCCTCCCAGTGACAATTCAGAGTCAAAGCATTCCTTTTCTAGTTTTTACACGGCCTTAGATGCCATTTGGTTAATTCTGGGGAGCTGTCCCAGAGGGAAATAGCCTAGACACAAAAGCATGATGCAGCCAAACTTAGCATCGTATTTACATAAGGGACAGATCCTGGGAACAAGAAAAGAGACAAGGACAAAACCCCTCTATCCTAACCTTAAATTGTTTGACAACCCTTTGCCTTACCCTAAAAATGCAAAGCTGTCTACACTTTCAGCAGAACACCATATGGGAGGTGATGGGCTGTGGCTTCCAAACAGGGTAAGCCATTTTGCAAACTTATCAAACACTTATCTCTACAGCTGCCCCTCCCTCGTTTAAGGCTCTTCTTTCTTTTCATTTTGGCTAAGAAAACAAAACAAAAAAAACAAAAGCAAAAACAAACCCAAAAGAAAACAAAGTGCTACTCAAGTAGAAAGTTAACAGTGAGTACCATCAAATCAGGGTAACTGCCTAGGAAGATAGTCCAAAATGCTAGAGTACCACAGAAGGATTCATCCCTGTTCCCCTTTGTTCTAGTAAATACAAAAGGATGCCTCTCCTCCAGCTGGCTTCTCATCTCCTGTGTGTTGCAGTGTTTCTAGGTGTACGAACTGAACCAGTTTAGCTGCTTGTAAAAATGCTCACTTTCTGACAAGGCATGAAAGCACAGACTCAGTCTAGCACACTCTGTTTAGGATATCTGCAGAAACCTGGTACACAGCCTTCTGTCTCCATATTGGAACCAATACATACCCAGTCTAGAATCTGATGTGTACAGTACTTACCCTTTATTCACTCAAACTGTCCCATCTGAAAAAAGGAAGAAACTGTAGTCTGGTTTGCTCCTCCAATGCCTCCATGCTCTCCTCAGTAAAACATTAAGAACTTTTGCCACACAAGGGCCAAAACTGCAAAAGCTTTAAGGCTCTCATCCTAACTATAGGTACTGTCTGCATGGGAGGGATAAAACTGCAGCAACTATACATGCTGGTGAAGAGAATGCAGACATGAATCCCCTGTTCTACTTTAGACATCTGCTCTGTCAACACCTTCCTTGAAGGATCAGTTGTACCTCTCTCCTCTAACTCCCAAAAGAAACAAGGCTCTTAGAGCACAATTTGTTTTCCAGTGGTTGAGAAGTGTCTGTTACTCTGGCTTGAGTGAGCTTAGATGCAAATATAAGTGTTATGGAAGTCTAAAGAGAAGTGAGATGATTGCCACCAGCAAGCTCTACTGAAATGTGTAGCAAAGGCAGAGTGGGATATTAATCCTTTTCCACAGTAGAATACTAACCTTGAGCCACCTTGTAAAAAGTATTAGACGTAAATTCATCATTCTGATTTTTATTGGGGGGAAAGAAAAAAATAATTTGAAAACAAAGCATCTCTGGAAAAGCTTAAAGCAATTTAAAAACCAGCATGTTCAAGCAGCCTGGATCTTTTCGTTAATGGAATTGTTCATATTTCTTAATTTTTTTCTCCAACCAGTTGTAGCCATGGTAGCACTTGTATATCCTGATGGTAAATTCTTGTAATTCCTTATTCTTTCCACTTAGGATAAAGAGGAGACCTCAGAGATGGCTACACTGACAGTACCTTGCCCTTGACTTGGAGAAAGCTATACAAACAATATTGTGGATTCTTCAACTGAGGGGACACACATAAACCAGATACACTGCTCCTCCATACACAGAACTTAAACCTGCCACATTCTCCATATCAATGGCAATGCCATCCTACCTTAATACTCTTGTCAGTGCCATAAAATACACACATACACTATGAACACACATATGTACTGTGCTAAATACTCATTTTTTGCTGAAGCACAAAATATTGCTAATTTGCAAGTATTTGTAATTGCAAGAGTTAAATAAAAAAAATCCTCCCATCCCTCCAACCAGTAAGTTACCCATGCCTCATCTTCTATTGCACACAGCAGCAAAAAAAGAAATCCATAGAGTCACAGAAGACCACCCTGGCTTTCCCCAAATTATTCTTATTCATAAATGTCACATCTTGATTTTGTACTGCACTGGAGACAAGGAACTGAAACACAATGAGAAAATGTCAGTTTGTGCTGCCCTCCTTACACCCTCACTATCTGAACTGTCTTGTGAGGAACCTTAACACATTTTTAAAAAGCATGTGAGTACCTCTGACCAGCTCCATTTCCATTATTGAAGAAAAACAAAGCCACAAAACTCACTTCTCCCATTCCTAGAGGTTCTTCATTGGACAAAATAATGATGACCAAAATAATAAAACCGAAAATAGTATATTTTAACACAGTCTTCCAACAATAGGTAATAGAAGTCACCTGCTAACAACTGTTATTAAACTTTTGTAGCTTCACAGACTGACTTTTTTCCTTCCCCTAAGTCAAGTACAAAGTTTCAGGTGAATTATGTTCTCTGTACTTGCACCTGTTTAATCACTATGCTCTAACGCATCAAAAGGAAAGTTCCAGAACTGTAGCACAAAGTCCTTATAAAGCATCTAAGAAGAAAACACCTTAAAAATATCACAAGAATAAGTGTAACTGTAAACAAATAAATTGTATCTGCTATAATAAAGGCCCTTTCCTTTCCCAGAACAATGTGGGTCTTTGTCCTCATACAATGACATATGCTTTAAGAATTCAGACTGCAATCATCTACAAATGTCTTTGTTTACAGTACACTACCTACTGTACAGTACTGACTGTTCATGGTGGGGTTTTTTCTTCAAATCATGAAGGACTTTTTATACACTCTTATTTCCCACAGTGTCTGCAGAATGGAAAGGATAGTGAAATAAACTGACTGAACCATAATAATAAAGCAAAAGAACACCTTAAAAATGGTGACCACTAAAAGATTCTACACCTTACTTGTGGAAAGGCAATGGAGCATTACATCACAAAAGACTTTCAACTGTCAACATGGAATCAATTTTTATTAAATGATGCCTAGTGGTTCTCTACATTTCATATAAAAATAAGATTCTAGCTCTAACTTGTTTCATTGTTTGATTCATGCTAGCTCAACCCAGCTACCTGAAACTTATATTCTTGGGAGAATTTAGGTTTCTGCAGTTTCTGAACAAAAATGTAATTTGTTAGAAATCAAGACCCGAAGAAATCAACACAGAAAACACAAAAAATAATTATGTCACAATTACTCACTTGCATAAGTTCATTGCTGTCAATCAGACTGTCTTCAAGCATCTCCTGGGTCAGCTTGCCCATAGTACTGTAAAATTCATCTGCTGTTTCACAACACTCAATCTGCCTACATCAAAATAAATGTTGATGTTTATTTTACTTTTACATATGATTCTACATGTTCAAAACAAAACTGATTTTCTTGTCATCATAAAATATGCATTTCTGTTAGACGGCCTAACTTTTAAGTGTCTATTTGCATTCTGCCTAGACTTCCAAATAATAAAACTATGCAGACAACATTGGAAAAGCTGCAGCAGTAAAAAGATGCACTGACTAGAACTTACTGTCCTGACTCCTCATGATAACAGATTCATGTATCTCCAGACAGGCAATTCCCTCTGCCCCTTTCATTTCTACAGCACAAGAATCAATACATTTTGCCTCCTACCAGCACAAGGGAGTTCTCTTATCAGCTCAAAAAGGGAGCATAAAGATTTCTTGACTACCTCATCACCCATTCTTCACCATGAACCAAATGGCCAAATTCACTGCCTGAACTTTCTTTTTGTCAGACAGGAAGATGTTCACTGGCCAGAAGCCACTCCTGTGGAATAAATTAAGTATAGGTATATATACATGTCATTGTGTTAAAAGATAATTAAGCGAACATAATGTACAATGAAGGAAAATTCACTCATCATATTTATGAATGGTATTTCTAAATTGGGGATAGGAAATGTTTTGGTTTTGATTGTTTGTTTGCATTGGTAGTATGCTTTTGTTTGTCTTGTTTTGGGGGGGGGATTCAATTGGATATTTTTTCTGCATTTTCTTTAAATTTCTAAAAACACAATCATTTTAAACACACAGAGTGTCATCTAGAGGAAAAGAAATATGAGTAATGTGCTTTTGTGAGTTGGTGTTCTACATATATTAGGGTTAGCTGCTAAACATGTCTCCTGTTATGTGAAAAATTTGTTATCCCAAAGAAGTGCATTGATGGCTACATATTGTAGCCTCTCCTCTAAAACACAGATGCTGGAATGATAAAAAATACACTGCCTTTTTTCTTCAGCATTACAAGAAGAAGCTTCCCTTGAACTTCAGCATCTGCACATAACAGCCACTGAGATATGAAACTCCTTCTGAAATCTTCACATAGTTTGGGTAAAATAATGATTATGTAGCTAAAAAAAAAAAATAAATTAAAAATTAATAGAAACAATGGGCATGTAGCCAATTATCACAAACTTATGGCTTACCTGCCCTGATACCTTCAGTCTCTCATGACCTCCACATATTGCTTTCTCCACTGCACCTATATTTAACTTCCCCGTTCCTTCAACCTCCCTCAAAACGCAAGTATGATTGAGACACCTACATTTTAAAAATGCACTTCTCACCCTATTTTCATTTAGAGAATGAATCTTGAGAAGCATGAAGATCATGAGACTAAGAACACTATTTCAAGTCCTACTTCTTTAAATCCCCCTTGTTCTAGTTCTAATGGTGGACAAAGAGAAAGAAATATCACAATCTTCTCTCAGCAAAAAGAGTGCTCAATCTTTTACCAGACCTTCTCCCATTCCCCACAAACAACAGTTACAAGATGTGCAGTGTGATCCACTTATTCTCTTAGGCGCATTCTAATATATTTCTTGATTCTGTTCCTTTAAATTTTTAAAAATGTTTAATTTTTCTTTAAGCTTTATGATAAAATCTTCAAAGTAGTAACTTCTTTTTTATCATATTATGAGTTGTAACATTCACAATTACAGCTTTTAAATGCAAAGAGATCCACTGGAAGAATGTTTTATCTAAAACACTATGTGACTACATATAGCTTAATCCTAATGCAAAGGATTCATGCAAGTTTCATTCATGAACTGAATATAAAAATAGCTCTCAGGAAATTATTATTCTAATTATTATCCTTCAGAATAAATGTACTAAACAAATCCTCTTACAATGCTACCAGCCTGCAATGCTAATTTATTCAGAAAGAAAAAAGGAAATGAAACCCCTAAAGACAGAACTGAAAATAAATCCCAGTCGTTCAGTTTCAGAGAAAAAAGGAAGATGAGTTTTAATAAGCATCACACGAAAAAAAAATCAATACAGCTGCTGATGCCAGCTGAAAAATGTTTCCAGCTGAACTAACATCTGCTTGACCTGTCAGAGCTCACACCTCCCACTGAAGCCAGTGACAAAACTCATTTCTCTAGGAGCACTGTAAACTCTTTGGAAGGCAAATATTTGCTTTGAAATAGGGGAGTTTAAAGAACTAATCATCTCTTGTGTTCTGGACATATGGTGAGTTTCCAAGGCCATAAAAGGACTATATTAGAAACTTAGCTTGAATATGCTTAAAAGCAGAGAATTTCAGGGTTTCAGGAAAATTAATTTTCAGGCCTTAACAAAAAAGACTCACATACCACAAGGTCATTCCCTCAGTAACGCTGAACTCTTGTACTGGGCAAAGCCAATGGGCTCGAACCCTTATGTCTCCTTAAGCAAAACTAAGGGAATTAAGATCTCCACTTTCACGTACCCAACTAAATTAGCTGGTCACTCTCAAGTCTCTGTGTGTTGTCTTTACACAGAGTATTTACCAGTTGATTCAAAGTTCTATGTTCAGGAAAGTCCAACCTTTTAGCACAGCACAAAGACAATATACACAGACAACTCCAACAACCAGAGATTTTTTACTGCAAAAAGGGTCAATTAATTATCATGCCTGTTCTGACATGATGTCAGAATCATCTGTTTTTAAGAAACCATAAAGGTCCTTTTTGCAGCTTTTTCTAAACAATCATTCTCCTGAAAGACTTTGTCTTGTTTAGAATTGGGAACATCTTAAGGAAAACAAAAGTTAAACATGGCTCATACTGAAAAGAAAAATCAGATAAAAATGACCACTTACTCTCCTAGCTTTGCCCAGATAGCCAAAGCTACTCTCAGTATAATTTCAGAGCCTTCAAAGAATATTGAATCCCAGATCTTCAGAACTGTATGGTTAGGCAGACAGGTGGCAAAGAGTGTCAGAAACCACTGCATTGTGAAGACATTTGTAAGTGGGGGTTCATAGCCTCCTGAAGTTAAAAAAACAAATAAACAAAAAACAAGTTACTTGAAGTAAATGCAACTTACTATCATTTTACAAGGAGTATAAACTGCTTAATAAAATCCACCAGACATTCTAGCACTTCTGATATTGCTCAAAACTTACTTAGCCTGCAACTGTCCAAAAATAAGCTGAGAAAAAAAACCAGAAAAACTGCATAGTCACCTTCCATTCTGCTGCACTGCAAAAAACTAAGCAGCATCATTGGCTTTGGACTATAAACCCTGGAATACACCACCACACTTTTTTTCCCTTATATCAGAAAGACTGTTTCTCCTTGCCCAAAGCCATATGAAATAAAAACTTCTATCAAAAAAAAGAAACAAAACAAACCCACCAACTTTCCCACAAAACACTGCATTTTTTTCACCAACTGATGGCATAAGTCTTTATCTACATGGTGATAAGGTGAAGGTGACTGTCTCTGTAAAGTCATATCTATTATTTTAATACCTTGGTGTACTTGTTAAGTTTCAAACAAAAATGTAGTATTTCAGCCTGAAACTCTACAGTTTTACTTTTTTAGTATGCTCAGAGAACACTTTGTACACCTCAGTATCAACTGATGCACTGAAGGCCAAAACCAGAGAGGCCAGCCTGTGAAAACACTTTCAAACATCAAATATTTCCTTGTTACATTTCACTGCTTTTTATACAGTTTGGGCATAGACAGATGGAACATAGTAGCAGATCTTTTCTAAGGTGGAACTCAGCATGCCCTTAGTTCCCAGCTGAAAAAGAAACCAAATTAACTAACAGAAAACCTCCTGCCCTCCCCAGAACATGCCCAAATAAAAGAACTCTAAGTCTGGATGGAGCTCTATGCCAGAAAAAATAAATAAATAAATAAATCAAGTGCAAAGCCAGTTTTCAGGTAGCAACCCAAGAGATGTACTTCTGAGTTTTGCACCTATGTGTTGGTAAGGATCCAGGTGAAGAAATACTAACCAGCCCCCACTGGCTCTCACATTGTAACTATTCCCAGAATAGCTACATGAGCAGCAACTACACCGAGCAGTAGGAGGACACCCATCTTGAGCTAAAGCAAGAAATTACCTTTCCAAGGTAGCCCTTGTACTAAGCTCTGTGTTAGTGCTGTCACTCCATGCTTTGTATATTCTCCTTGACACAATTCTCTTTGCAGCTAGTGGTGGGATCAAATTATTTCCCTTTGTTTTTTCCTGGAAGTACCACCTATTTATGTTAAGGTTATCAATAATAGACACCATCATATTTCATCTTAACAATTTAAAATACATATTCTAAGCAATAAATTCATGTAAACACTTAAAATACTGTATTTTTAAATCAGTGCTCAGATGAAACAACAGCAAGATAGAGTTTAATAGCATCTGTTGAACATACCTCCACTTTCTCTGTTAGCAGCTCTTTGCAGGGTGTCTAAGTGCTGGGACAGTTCAGGAAGCTTCATTCGTAAAAGATCTCGGAAAACAGCCATATCCACAGAGAGAGCACGGAGATTATTGACAAAGTAGCTATCAGGAAGCACCTTATCAATTAGGTAAATCATGATCTGTAGGCAAAATGAAAGACTATCATGTAGGACTTACAGAGCAGTTATTTTCTAGGAATAACAGAAAAATAAAATTTCTCTATTCACTAAAGAATGCATTGGAGTGGCAACACATGCTTATAGCACCTCCACTTATATGGGGAGAAAATATTATCACTTCGAGCACCTTTGGGAACCCTAGGCATCCACAAGTATTCAAGATGCAAAGGCCTCTTGAAATTGTCCAGAATTTATGAACCATGAAATTACTGAAATCAATGACTGAAATCATTGTAATCACAGTAATCTATGCCCAAGGTGGCAGCATTACCCACCAAAAGCAATTTTTGATACTTCTGATGCTGGAACTGTTTATGAGATTCTCCACTGCTGGAGAGTCTCACTATCCCTTCTCCGGTTAATGCCACAAATAGAAGACTGGTCTTGCAAATCCCCTGATTTCCCTCTCCAAAATGCAAGGTACTGTGCTTTATAAAGAGATTCTCCATACATTTTACTGTGATGTGTTACCATGTGCTGCACTCCATCCTGTCACTTTAAAAGGTGCTAAATTAAGCAGCGTGAGACATTTTAAGCAGACATCTGTTTCAAGTGAGATACCTCAACTGCATGGATGGTAATGGATTAAAAGGATACTGTCAAACATTTGAGAATGAACAAATGCAACAAAATGCATGAAGCTGATGTTTATCATCAGCCTAACAGAAGACATTGACCTTCACTTCAGGATCTTTTACGATCTCTATGGCCACTCTGTTAACCACATCCAGAGAACCTGCATGCAGTCATCCCATCTGCATTTCATCTCCATTTCTCTCATTTGAGTATCCTTACCATGTTTCATAAAGACCTTAATTCTCTAGACAAGCATTGCACCTTCATAGATAAGAGACAATCCTTCTTCCAATCCTTCTCTTTTCATACGATGCCCACAGAAACAGCTTCTCAGACATAGGACTACCAAGAGCACCACCTGACATAGTCTTACTGCTTTATTTTTATTTTACACATCTGCTTGGGACCACATACTGCCACTTGTCCTTGCAACATTTCTTTGGCAATAGCAGTCTTATGTTCCATGTTTCAAAGTATGTGGACCAGTAGCCAAAACAGGCAAATCAACAGCTTCTACATGACAGCCTCATTTTGTCAGATGCCTCTGCTGAATAGTGGGTTACCTCACTGTCTTGTAAAAATATGCTTTATTTTGTTCAGATCTATTTCAAGCAATGGAAGAGTAATTCGATATAGCAACATTAACTTACAACTGTGCTATCTGTGTTTTCATTAATTCCTTATGAATCAATAAGCTATAAACCCCCATGTTAAAGACACCCTTCTATAAAGGCCTTTGGTGCCTTCCCACTGAGTAGTATTACTTCACTGATCTCTGATATATGAGAGCACAGAGAACAGAAATCTTTTCCAACACTGAAGTTCATTCATTTCACCATCATGTGAATTGTTTTGTGAAGACTTTTTAAAAAAGCACTTCATGTATTCACCAGTTTGCAATAGATTCTTTCTTCGTAACACATCTTTATATTATTTATTTTTATTATTTGAATCTGTAGCATTTCCACACAACATACAAGAAAAGTTTTTTTTGAGTTTCAGTATCTATGAGACCTTTATATAGTTTCCACACATGCAAGCTGGGATTTTCTTGCCTACCATAATTTCTGTAGGCTAACTTTGAGGCAACTCCAGGGATTTAACTTAATGCTTACCTGAACTAGTGAACACTGACCATTCACTGAAGCTACCTTGTTGGGTCCCGTGCTGTTAAAGCCCCTTGGCACCAGTAATACCTGCTGTTTCCTAGCCCCTGGGAGATGCTTCCCAGACATAGAGCTTTTGTTTATAGTGTCCTCCCCAGAAATGGGACCTGACTGCCAAGACTTGAGAATTCCCTTGCTCCCTTAATTCCCAGATTCTACAATAACCCAAACAAATACCCCATAGCTACAGTCCTGAGGGCACCTTTACAGGCCTCTGTAGCTGTCCACTCACTGCTTGCTTTAGGTGGCAGTGACTACAACAAAACCGTCACATGCTAATACCAAATTCTTATTTACTCCCACCCATCCTGTTCCTTTCCTTGCCCTTCCCCTCTTCCCTCTCTTCTGGGAAAATTCCAACCATGAAAAGCCCACACACTAAGCTTGGAAAATAAATTACTTTTTCCACTCTTATTTTTGCCAGGTAAGACCAGCTTTGGTGCAAACAGCCTTCAGTGCTTTACCTCCCTGGGGCAGTTCCATTCCATTGTTTCCTCCACACAAGGAGCCTGACGCAACTCACAATAACAGACAACACATAAAAATGCACACAGTTCTTGTCGTCAGCTTGGACTTCATAAACCTTCAGCAGACATATTTCCTATGCTACCACAATGTGTTTGGGGAGCTTCTGGACAGTATAAGATCACAATAAAACATGATAAATTACAGTTAAAAATACAGAGGAAATCATAAGCAAGAATTATTGAAAGGAAATTCTACTTTCTGAATAAAGTTGGTATATTATGGTATTTTCTTCCTATTACAGGCAGCACCTTAAACCATGTCCTGCAGTGAGCTGTATTTCCATGTTCTGACATATTGTAAATTTCATGAAGTTTTATTTACAATAAAAACCATCTAAGAAAACAAAACACTGTAAGACTAACATAGCCCAGAAATTAGATTCAAAGTGACTTACTTTCATTTTGAGTATTTAGTATTTTCCTAGGATTTGCTTGGAAATGTAACCAATTTATTAACTGCCTCACATGGAGCTGCCACATAAGATGCTGATAATGAAATTTTAATATTTCAGCTACCTTTGGTAGCAGATTTGGGATTATGGGATAAGATATCCTACAGTAAGCAGCAGTGGTCCTATTTATTTTTTTCAAATAAAAATTTAACAAACATTCAAACTATTAATTTTAGCTCAAACAGAAAAAACAAATAAAATTTCACCAATATAAATCTGCTAGCTCTTTTGAGTCCTGCTCTTTTAGGCTGTCTCCAAAATTCACACATTGGTTTATTCTAAAGTTCGCTAACTAAAAGTAATCTTTGACACTGAAAAAATATTTCACTCACTTTCAGGGCATCCCCTTCATTGCCCTCCATTACTTCCAGAATAAGTGCAGCTAGTATGTTAAATCCTTGACAGTAGCCAACAGATTTATTCCACCTGGCATAAGCCAGCAAAACACGTTTTAACACCACTCGATCTTGCTCTGCCTCCTGGCCACAGTAAGAACTGCAGCCAGTTCGGTGAAGGTCCTTTAAAGGGAAAGAAATAAAAATTAAAATGACAATACAATGAGAGAAAAAATGTGTATTTTCCGTCTCCCATTAGTTCTTTTGCCTGTCCCAGTTTTCTTTCCACCTCCACCCACCCAGTACATACTCCCAAAGTTGATGACAATGTTTCTTTTTTAATCTGTTAAACCTTTAGCTTGCCCAAAACAGTTTCAGCAAGCTCTTTAAGTAAGCAAGTGCTCTAAAAGATGTTCACAAGGCATTGCCACAGAAGATATTAACAGATCTCTGTTATATATATAGAGATATATAACAGGCAAGACAAAACAGCAGCTAATTGCATGAAAAAGATAAACTGTTTTTATCAAAGTATAAATGAACTAGTAGATAAGTGACTTCTCAAGACATACAAGCCAGAAACTGTGTCCTGAAAATTTAAGTGATTTGCAAGTGAAAGGCAAAATGTACAAAATGGGTGACTGCTTAAACATTAATCAGCTGAGAAATACAAATAGGCAAATATGTTTCACTCCTGTAAAACAACTGAAAAATGCTCATTTGCTGTATTTTAAAATATGCTTTTACTCCCAGAAAACATTTGTGTTTATTTACAGAGAAGGAAAAAAACCACTCATGTTCCTTTGTCTTCATTAAACTCTAGTACATTTTCAAAATAAAAAAAGAGTAAAAATGAAGGGAAAAAACCCCCAGAAACAGCACTTTTTTCCCCAGCTAACACTAACCAGACTAGTGCAAAAGGAAAAAGCAGCCAAAAGAAAACCAACTTCAGTGGGCCAAAGGGAATTAAGATACAATTTTTACCAAAGCAGTTGTAGAGATGAAAATAAATCCAAATTCAAATGTCAACTTTTCATTAAAAAATGAGAAAAGAAATAACAAATTAGCTGTCTACCTTTACTATCTGGATGCCCATAGAGTCATCATCAGGATTACTTCTTTCATTGAACGTAAAACGCATGGTTTTGTCCCAGTCAATGGCTATACTGTGTAAGTACTGATCAGCCAGGGTCAACCAAACCTAGAAATACATTTGAGAAAATTAATTATTTCTCTGATAAAATATAAAGTTTTTATATATATTGTTAGATGAACCTTATCAGCTTCACCCATATGTGATCTGCTGTTAGACTTGAAATATGCAGAAGAGGATTTTAGCTACAACCATTTTTGCACAATCAAAATAATACTTTGCTCCCTAAAACATAAAGGAAATGGTCAGCACTAAGCATCCAGATCTGTGGACTGCTTAGAAAGATACAAGTTGGCCATCAGTGAATTCACAAGGGCCCTCCAAGATGGAAACACAATGCAAGGTCTCTCCATCAGTTCAAACCTTCTATCCTTACAACCAACGAAGAGTTTTATAAAAGGATAACACTGCTGCTGGCTTTCCTGAAACTCAACCATGGATACATCTCCTGGGAACTCCCAAAAGAAATCTAGCAGTGCTGGTGCTTCCCTGTATCAGAAATCTCTTCTTATGACTTTGCAGAACAAATAATATATAGTTTTCACCATTTGGGATTGATCTGAAAGCATGATTCAGAATGGAACAACTCTCACAAGAGAACTAAACTGTTGGCACTACAGAGAGTTCTGAAACAAACATTTTCACTACTTTTAAAGCCTAATAATTGCCAGAACAGATTTATGCATGTTTATCCAAGACAAAGGTGGGACCTTTATTAAATATTTGAAAACTTCCTGGACCATGACACATGACAGATCATACAATGACAACAAGCAACAATAAAGGACCCTTTTTTCAGGAAGCTGAAAGAAATCACGAAAGCAAACTGGTCAAGTTTTATATCAGCCATTAATTCACTCAAGTGAGAAAAGCAATTTAGACACTTCCCACAGATTTAAACACTTAGATAGCTGCACGATGAAGGAATTTATAGACAGTTCCCAGAATCTCATGTTTTCTGCATTTAAATGTCCCTACCCACACTTTCACAAAGCCACCCACGTGGAGGAATGCCACTGCTCTGCCTCCCAACAGCCTCAGCACTGCTGACATCCTACTGATGTTGTTTGACTGGATTCTTTATCTCTGCCAGCCCCAGAAACCAAATGTCACACGCCACAACAATAATGCAGATGTCAACCTGCTCCTTGTGTTGACAGCAAAGGAGGCAATCAGCAGGCTGCCACCACAAAATACTTCCTCTGATTTGGTATCTATTTTAAAATCATTGTGAAACCAGGGAACAGCAGTAAAAAGACAACATCTCTTTTCTTACTACTATTTCTTTGGTTAGCATCATGCGGTCATGTGTGAGCAAACTCAGGGATGGGCAGAGTGAAAAGGAAAGACAGATCTGAGTTGGATGATGTGGCAAAGCTTATGCAAGTCTGCTGACTACACAGAACTGGGAGGAGTGGCTGATAAGCCCAAGGACAACTTGACAGGATGGAAAAATGGTCTGACAAGAACCTCATGAAGTTCAACAAGCAGAAGTGCAAAATTCTGCTTCTGGAAGAGGGAAGAAATAATCCCAAGCAGCAGTATATGTTGGAGACACCCAGTTGCAAAGCATCTCTCCCATGCAGGAAGGCTGAAAGAGCTGGGACCATTGAGAATGAAGAAAGGCAGCTATGGGGGAATCCTACCAGTGTGAATGAACACCTGAAAGGAGGGTGCAAGGAGGATGAAGCCAGACTCTTCTCATCCATGCCCAGTGACTGGACTGGAGATAATGGGCACAAACTGAAACACAGGAGGTTCTCCTCAAACATCAAGGAACACATTTTAACTGTGAGGGCGACTGAGCACTGACACAGGTTTCCCAGGGAGGTTGTGGAATCTCTATCCTTGGAGATATTCAAAAGTCACCAGGACTTGGCAACCAGCTGTAGGTGGCCCTGATTGGGCAGAGGGGTTGGACCAGATGGCTTCCAGAGGTCCCGTCCAAACTCAGCCCTTCTGTGATTCTGTGACCTCTGCCAATCATGTACCACAGACAAGTGGTACAGACAAGTGTCTGAGACACTTTCTGGAGTGGAAGAAGAATATTTCAGGTAAGAAAAAAGGCTGTTAGATGGGTATAATGATTCACTGAAGTTGTAGACTGAAAATAAATTCATCGTGGTGTGAGGAAAACAATGCCACTAAGTCTTCTCTTCCTTCTCTCCTGATCTGTAAAGGGCTAGAGTTCAGTTTGGAAATGTAGCAAAAAACACTAAAAGGAAATTAAGCTGATGCATCAGAAATATGTGGAACTACACATAATTTATAAATCTTCAAAAATATTTTTTTTATTAAAACGGTGTTTTCAAAGCTGAGATTGTGTGACTCAGTTTTAAAGAAAAAAATTAATAGACATGCCTCTTTTTATACTAGGGGACTTCAAACATTGAAGAATGCAATAAAGTAAGTCTAGCAAAATCCCAATGGACCTTTTCCTACCACACTAACTCAGTGCACTTTCCCATTAATGGTGCACTCTGCCATTCTACATCACTCCTGTCTCTGAACTTCCCTAATTTTGGTAAACCAAGAACTGTTTCTATGAGCATTCTTGTCAGCATTAAGTATGTATCAACTTCACCTTCGTAAGTGTGACAACCTACACTGCAGATATGTTCTCCTTTTAGTTATCTTCAGCAGTGGGGGCAATTTCACCAGTGCAATTTCTTGAGAGTGACAGAATGAAGCAATAACATCTGCACCTAATTAAAATAACCAATAAATTACCTAAGCCTCAAGCAGAAAGAACCCAATTACTGAAAACACCATCTTTACCTGTCTCCTCAGCCTTTCCAGCTGCCCTGTGAGGTTGTCACTGAATAACGTAAACAAGAAAAAATCCCCAGTACAACTTAAAAGGTCCAAATATTTGTTATAAAACCCACCAACAGATAATGCTGATGTAATTCACCTCTTCTGAGAAACCTACAGGCAATATGGCCCAAAAGGCATAGAGGTTTACCTACCTTTCTCCGCCATTCCTTTGGGATCCCTGTTGGCAGTCTGGCCACTGCTTTGAGCGCATCATGCCACTAAAAGCAAAAACATCCAAAAATGTAAAATATCCATCATTAGTTTAATGCTACAGTACAGCAACATTTACAGCCTTGCAGACATTGCACACTCATTTCATTTTACTGCACATATTTCAGAGTTTAACTGCTTAATCCACTCTCAGGGAAGATACAGATTAATTACTTAATGATATGACCAAAATATAATATTCTAGGACACAAGGATTTAGGAAATATATGAGTAATTAATGAAAGCCTATTCCATTTTCTGAATACAAGTGAAACAGCTCGTGATGCAATTGCAAATAATATGCTGATATTATGATGACAAATGCATTTCTGAATGAGGGCAAGCACCTTCACTGCAGAGAAACCACTAATTCACAAACTCAAGAGAAAAATAAATCAAATTACCTGCTGGAAACCATTTTGACCTAAAGATGGCTCAAGTGTGAATTTCAATTTTGTATCAACCCCTAGAAAGAAAAATGAAAAAAAAAAAAAAAGTCATTATTTCATTTAGCTCAGAAGACAAAAAGAAGCTAAAAAACCCCAAACACAAACAGTTCAAACAGTTGAAACAAGAACACAAAATTTTATCTTCCTGTTTTAACAACTACATTTCAACCTGTTTCAATAAATTTTGTCCTCACAGTGGATTCAAGGAACATGCTAAGAAGTACACAGACAAAATGTTTTTAAAATGCAGCAACATGCTCTTTAGTGATGTAGTTTGGACCAACTCATTTCACTAATATTCATATAGTTCACTGCTCTACAAACTAGAATAGTACACTGCAAACTGTCATATGCATCCACAGAAAAATACATGTGCAGAGACAGTTTCTTTCCATCTATGCCAGCTTCTTGACATTAAGTCAGTCAAAACTAATTTATGAGTTTGGTGTGTTAAAATTATTTTGCTGTCCAGAATATATATATATATTTTATAATTTTTCAGACCATAATGCACATTTGGTCATTATTGTTATTTAAGCATAGATTTTATTTTGGCTATATAAGCAAACTACTTTATTTGTTATGAAGCAGGCCTACTAATTGTTCATACAATATTACATAAAATACCAGAATCTCAAGTGGATCCTAACATGGCACTGAAGTATGCCAGAACATGATCAACAGTAAAATGTTTAATTTGCTTTCCATCCCGCAGTTTGAATGCACAATTCCTTGGTCCTTCAAATGCCGCTGTCCAGAACTCAGGTGCTGAACACGGCATCAGATCCCATCCCCTCCCTCCCGTCTGCTGGCACAAAGAATGAAGCCCTCCTTTATTTTCCCTCCATAATTTAATAGAATGGTATTGTTCCATTTTTACAATTATGTTATGCATAGCTTCTCATCTTTCCAGGATATGAAGCCAAACATTTTTAATATAGAAATGCATATATACATATATATACACAGAGAGAGAAAACCCAAACAGATTATAAGCCTGCAAGGTTTTAAGTATGTAATATCCATGCTAACCAACTCACTGGTAATACTCAGTCCTTTGGAGGTCTAAACCTATAAGTCTGACAGAAAACCCAACTGTAGTGGCATTTGCTATTTATGGAATGTAAAATGCCTTTGAGCATTAACATACTGAAGTGGTGGTAAGTAATTTTAAAGCCTTACTGCCTGATAAATATATATTTAAAGACAAAACCTTCTTCTCCACTGCTTTTTTTTTGTTTTGTTGGGGGTGAGTGAATAGAAACAAAGAAAAAAACATCACACAAACTCCAGCACTGTTTAGAATTTTAGCATTTTAGAATTGCATCCCTGAGACCTGGGGATTAGTGCTTTCGTTTCCTTGCTTCAGTTCTAAAAGACATACTTGTCAGATCTAGAAAAATAAAGGCTTCAAACCATAATAGATATGTCTTGAAAAAACATTGAAGGATTAATAACTATTCCTGGAAGTAACTGTTTATTAGTATTCCTTCCCATAGTGCAATGGCACTCATCAGGGACTCCTAATAGATGAATCTTTTCATAATAATTCAAAGCAATGTAACAATGCCAGTAACCTACTAAGATTAAATTGTATCACATTTGCTGAAATTGGAAAACGTGAACTTCATTCTCAAGCGAAAAAATAATAAGTACTGTAAAACCTTAATACATACAAAAATACATCATGACTAGGAACTCCTTTTGTTAAAGTAACAGATGCTGGCACATTACCTAACACTGCCTTGTAGCAAAGAACCAATAGCCTTCCAAAATAACCATGTATTCATTTCCAGCCCAGCGCCAAATATTAATTATTTCACTGTTTTCCAAGACTTAAAAGATCCCAGTGACAACTTTTCTGTCTGTCCTAGAAGCTTCCTAAGAAAGACAAAAGCAAATGCTTCCAGGTCTTCAAAAGATCCAGTACAGCAAGATAAAATCTCAGAGCAAGGCAAAATCTATCTATAGTTACATGAACATCATGACCAGGAAGCTCACACTACAATCAAGGTACATGTCCCTCCTGAGACTGAAATGAGACCCTTCAAATGAGACCCTTGATTAAATGAGACTGAAATGAGATCATCCATCTACAAAAGTTAATTAAATCACAGCAAACAATTAAGACAGGTGTGAAAATTACTGTAAATGAGAATTCACACGGTAACACCAGACTACACAGTACACTCTCTTCAGTATGGTGAGGAACTGCTTGGTCACGCCATGCATGACAACCTCTTGTAAAAGCCACAGGATCTCTGTCCCTTTTATTTGTTCTCCATTAGAAGTATTTTCCAAATCAAATTATGTGACATTTTTGTGATAGGGGAGGGGAAGATCCATGGGGAATGAACCCCATACAATACAAATTGTTCCTCATTCCCATCCATTTTAAAGAAATTTTATTTCCTAAAATTAAAAAATTACAACATTGCTTAATATAAAATACAGCAAGTAAGATGTAAAAAAAAAAGCTGCAACAATACAGAGAGAGCAAGGAAGGTAACCAGCAAATTGGGAGCAGCATCTCATTGCCCATTACTTATTTCTGGTGGAAGAATCATCTTGCTACATGCAGTTTCTGCATTCTGCTCAAGGAATTTGTACCTGAGTTTTAGAGCTTCAAGGAAATTAATGCCTATCCCTAATTCAACCTCTCTTGGTTTCCTAAACCTTCCTTTCCCCATCATTCCCCCTTCTTTATTTAGTTGTCTTCTCTCCATAACCTAACTTACATTCCGTAATAGTTTCTTCCCCCTCAGTACCCCACAACCATACAACCCTACCACATGTCTGCACCCATTTTCACTGGGTTTTCCCATTTCTGACAATCCTCCATCTTTGGGTCACATTCCTCTCCATAACATAAACACATGCTTTTTGCAAAAAAAGACCCCTTAAGGCCTTAAGAGAACTTGTCTTCCCAGCTCTTCTGCAGGGACAGCCTGGCATAGATGCACCACACACAGAGGAATAGTTCCTACTGTAAATGTTGCCAGTACATCTCAGCCCTTACACATCAAATCAGCCAGGTTATGGTCTCATTTGACATATAAATATCACCTCCAGTTCATACACTTTCAACTGATTCTTCATATCTGAGAAGCATATTAATTTATATTGGCAGGAATATGCTGGGAACACACTGGAATGATTAGCTCCACAAATACGAGGACACACAAAGGTACATGCCTGACAACAAATTTCTGAAGGGTAGGGGAATGCCAAAATAAGCTCTGTTCAATGCCCTTCCAAACCTGTTACCAGAAACCACTGCAGAAAAGTTATATAAAAAATATTAAGAAGAGGAAAATATACTCCCCTCCAAACCAGTCCTGTATTCTTTCCTGTGCAAAATACACAATAACTCCTGACAAGAAAAGGCTGTAAGAGGGAAGATTATACCCCTAGGATTCCCAAACTCTAGCAGTCCTCCACTGCATAACTGAAATGTAGCACAGAACCACACAAAGTGCCATAAGAGGGGAGAAAAATACTGTCAGCCGGAGTGAGAGAATCAAATTCCCAGTTCACCCTCAGTGGATTAATTAATTAATTAAATTAAACAAAAGGATGGGGTGAAATCTGGGATTTTTTCAGAAATGTCAGAACAGAAGAAAGTCTAGGAAGATTATGTGTTTTTTAAGACAATAGCACGTTTGTGAGCTATAAAGACATAGCTTTAAACTTGCAAATTAGTACTATAGCTTCTTGGCTGTATTTCACAGCTGTTGAAACCTCTCCCACAAAATGCAAATAAATATTTTATCAAAAATAAATGAGGAGAAAGGCCTAAAGCAGTTTTGTGTGCAGTGGGAAGAAAGAGAAGAGCAAATGTAAACTATCACCTTATGCTGCTTGTTGTTTCAAGTAGATTCTTAGCCTTGCAATTTATCTCTAGAAGTAATATTCTGAGTAACCCTGTATGAAACCGCTTCTATTAGGAGCCAGAGCTCAGACTGGGATGTATCAAAACATATCTAAGATCTCCAGTCTAGAAAAACTTCTCAATACAGACAACTAATACAGGCACTAAATAAATCTGCATAATATTTCATCCAGCATATTTTTAAGGGCTCATTAGGTGTCCCATGCCCACCACTCTATGAAAACATTTATCCTGAATGGGATTATTGTCTTTACCTATATATGAACAACATGGAATCCCCAAACCAGTCAGATTTTTACAACTATGGCATTCATAGTTACACCTCCAATCACATCCCCTGGTCTTTGTGTGAGTGTAAATACAAGAATGTTATTATCCAGATAACATCATTACCTGGGATAATAACAGACTACTGTTGGAGCAGGGATCTTTGAGAATTACAAGACAGAAAATCTTGGAAACAGCAACTCCATAAATCTGTACCAAAATGTACCCAAGACCTGATTAATAACAGCTTCTGAAACTCACTTCAAACACAGAGGCAGTGAGCATTGTGTGCTTGATGCACACACTAGTACAATGGGAAAAAGCTAGTACAATGGGAAATTGAACCTTATTTATTCCCATGTATTGCTCTATGTTTCCATGGATCTCCGGCTTGCCTGCTTTGTAAATGCCTAAAATTAGGCAACAGATCAACAACGTTTTAGCTACAAGTGACAGGTCTAACACGTAAATTGAATTTAAATTTCTTGATATTTCATTTAAAAAAAAAAAAATTCAACATTTTGATGGCAGGCAACTAGAATCTAGCATTCAGTCACGATCACCCATTCGCACTTCTGTTGAGAGCCCACCTCCCTGGAGTAAACCTACATTGTTAGCTGACCACCCAGTTCTTAAAAGATTTTGATACTGAAGCAGGATCTAGAAAACATAGCTGCAGAGCTGATGCCTTCCCCTTGGAATAGGCATGGTTGCAAATTTATACTACACCCTAGCGCAGACAAAGGCTGGGCGGGCGGAGGGGTCTCCGGCAGGTCAAGAGTTAGCAGGTTTATCAGGAAAGGTCAGGGGAGGATGCTAGGAGACTTCGGGGAGAGACTGGCAGAAAGCTGAATCGCC